GTTTTCTCCTCCACAGATGTTGCCAGACCTGCTGAGCTTTTCTAGCAACTTTGTTTTTGTTGCAGATTAATATAGTTCAGGACCCCCCACTTTTAAATTTGTAATGACTCAAGTTAAAGTAGATGAGTTTGCAAGTTCTTGTTTAAACCAAAGGTTTCTTTCTTACAACTTAATACTACAGGTTCCTTATGGATAAAGAGATCGTTTAAAAAATCACAGGTTCTAAGATTAAAACAATTGTAAAGAATACAAAAAGAACTTAGAATAAGCAAGACCTTCATTGATCAGAACATGAAGTGCAGGAGTTGGGATGTCATTGTTACAGCTATACAAGATATTGGTAAGGCCACATTTAGAGCACTGCATTCAATTCTGGTCACTGTGCTCTCAGCAGGATGTTATTAAACTGCAAAAGGTGCAGAAAAGATCTACAAGGATGTTACCAAGACTGGAAGGTCTGAGTTATAAGGAGCGGATGGATTGCCTGGGACTTTTTTCCCTGGAACATAGGAGGCTGAGGAGTGACCTTATAGAGGTTTATGAAATCATGGGCATAGATAAGGTGAATGGCCTAAGTCTTTTCCCTAGGGTTGGGGAATCCAAAACTAGAGGGTGTATGTTTAAGGTCAGAGAGGAAAGATTTAAAAGAGACCTGAGGGGCTTTTTTTTCACACAGAGGATGATGTGAATGTGGATTGAGCTGCCAGCGGAAGTGGTAGAGTCGGGTGTAATTACAACACTTAAAAGACATTTAGACAGGTACATGGATAGGAAAGGTTTAGAGGAGTATGGGCCAAATGCAGGCAAATGGGACTAGTTCAGTTTAGGAAACATGGTCGGTGTGGATGAATTGGGCCGAGCAGCCTGTTTCCGCACTATATGAATCTATGACTCTGCAACTTATCTCTATTGTATAACGTTGGGGACCATTGCTTGAATTTTTTTGTTCTTGAAGAGGTTAGAACTTAAACCCAGAAATTGCTGCAGAAACTCAGCAGGCCTAGCTAGCAACGTCTGCAGTCAGTGAAACAGAGTTAACATTTCAAGTACAAATATGACTTCTTTACAACAGGCTAGCACTTAAAGTCAGATCCAGCAGCTGCTAAAGCTTCTGTAGTCAGGCAGTCATTGTTTTCTTGTATTGGGAAGTTTCTTATGGCAGCTGATCTTTGCAGAGCAATAAAAAGATTCTTGGTTTCTGCTTCTGCAGGCGTGCCACTTTTAGCTGTCTAGTTACTTTACAGCAACTGCTGTTGTAAGATGCCTCTCCCACCAGGGAGAGGTGTTTCTTGTGCGATGGTTCAAGGTGGAATCTGTCGTCTTCGAGGCAGCTCGTCTTCTAAACTATTCTTAGCTGACAAACTAATATGGCCACGTGATACAAGTGTAAAATAAAGTCGTGTCCCATAAAAGGCATTTTGGAAACAGCTCATCTCCCACCTGTGGTTCTTAGCTTTCGTCCTGTTCAACACTGAACTTGCATTCTCATAATGAATCATCAATGAACATTGTTCCTTCCTGGATGAGGGTATTTACATGTCTGGGTATATGTCCCTGTATTCCACACACTGCTGATAGAGTTTCTATCTAGCACTAACCATGTTTTTAGCTTCTTGCCCAGTTACACTCAGCTTGGCCTTCTTTGTAACATGTACAACATTATAATTACAGTGTCATGACATTTGTTATTTTTGCACTTTGTCTATTTTTTCTGCATCCTTTGTGTGATATGGTGACTAGAAAGGTACCCAATATTCTACGTGTGATAGTTTCCCAGATGGCCATTCCCAGCAACTTTAGTATTTGCAACCTCTACCAGTGTGTGGTATTGAGTAAAGGATCTTCGAGGTAGTTTACTGCCACCAATTCTCTTTTTTGTCTTTGTCTGAGGCCTATCTAGTGATTAGTGGTAGAGAAGCAGAGTAGGGGAAGACCACCATCTTTCTGCAAAAGTATAATGACGAACTGTTCAGTCATCACACCCTCTCATTGCCTTGATGTATGCAAATAATGTCATACATCAGTAAGAAATGCGCTTGGTTTTTGCAACTGCAAGGAATGTCAAATTTTTTTGATACTCAAAGACTGCTTTAATACCTTTAGGGCTGCAATATTAAAAAAAACACCCTCTGCAGGTTATCTATAGAAGAAACTGTGTTCTTGAATGACAAGAAGGTTTCTTGCAGGATAGCAATAAGTACAACACATTTGACTAGACATAGTTTTGAGGACTTTAGAGAGCTGATGCTGATACAGATACATCTGATCCCTTCAAATGGACCGTGGAACTTCTTGTTTCCACCCACAGAATGTGTGCGATATCAGTACAATGGATGGAGCCAGTATAACCTGAATATTAACCCCTTCAGAACATGATCTTATACAATATACCTTGGATTCTTTTCAGGCTGAGAGTGCTAACACCCCGGAACATGCACATCAATAAACAAAATCTCTCAAATATATTTATATAGTGATAAATACCTAACAAACAGCTAAAAATTAAAAAAATTATAAGGGTCAAGAGCTAAAAAGGGTTAAACAAAATAGAACCTTTTCTTACGTGTTAAAAATCATGTTTATATTGCACATGTGCAGTCTGGAAAAACAAACAAAAAGTGAGCATGACCAGTTGCCATTCACCACAGGATCATTGGTGTCAACAGATATAGTCCCCTTTTCACAGGGGAGGTAATAGCCCAGTGATATTATTGCTGGACTATTAATCCAGAAACTCAAGTAATGTCCAGGGGACCTGGGTTTGAATCCTGCCATGCAGATGGTGGAATTTTAATTTAATAACAATCTGGAATTAAGGGTCCAATGATCACCATGTCTGTGTTTTCCTCCATTATCCCCTTTGAAGGTGATGTGGTACCTGCCCTGTTGTTTTGTACCTCTGCAGTTTATCTTGCTTCCAACAACAATGCTATTTCCAGGATTTTGACCCAGCAACAGTGAAGAAATGCTGACATAAGTGCAATAGGGGAAGGTGTAGGATTTGAAGGTGATGTGTTTCAAGTCTTGACCTTCATATTATGAAACAGAGTGCTGTTGGACATCCAGTGAGAGCTGGACCAGGCCCCGTAATGATGTCGTCCCTCACATTCATTATCTATATTGTATAGAGGCACAAGAGGGTTTCTGGTACCAACTGAAATACATTCTACATAAATCATCTCCTGCAGGATAAAAGGAGAGTGAAAACGGAGAATTAAGAAAAGAGTAAGCATTCACTTTGTTATGGTGAACTAGTAACCCAGTTTCAAACCAAGCAACCTACATGTTCTGTTGGTCAATTAGCAAGTCAAGCTTTTGCCAAGAGAAACACACAGAAGGTATAAATAACAGACTGCAGTGTCTACCCACTCTACTCTCCTTTCTTTTAGTGACCTTGGCACCCAGAAATCTGTCAGTCTGACAATTCTGAAATTATAACATTGCACCGTACATTCTTCAGCCAGAGGAAGGTTTAACACATCTACACTGATAGACACCTAGAGAATCTTATACATTTCAACCTCCAATTGAATTAAAGTCCAGGGAATTCATAATATAATGTGACACTATTACAAGCAAGACTGGCACATAGAAAGAAACCATTCAGTCCCTTTAGCCTTGGGAGGAGGCCATTCAACCCCTTTAACTGCCCTGCTATTCAACCAGAGAGTTGCTGATAAGTACCTTGACCAATTTACCAGCTTTTTCTCTAAATCCCTCAATGCCCCTGCCTAACAAAAGTGTTTCAACCTCAGCTGACGGCTACAATTATAACCCCAACATCCCCAGTCCGTGGACAGGAGGAAAATATCCTAGATATAGGGGAATGTGGGCGTTTCCTGATTTGGCAGCATGAACAGCAGAAATTGCTAACTGAATCTCAAGTCGTTGAAACTGCGGGAAGTCTAGACTTGCAATTTTTTTTACAAAGCGCATGATGAGTCTCCGTGCCAATCAGTTCCAAAAGAAAGCCGCTTTTTATTTAAACCTTTGCGTTGCCAGCTCTGATTGGAGGTATTCCTCAAGGCTTCAATACGTGGTATCCTGCTCTCCAACAATTCCGCTCGGTTAAATCTTGTTTTTAATCGTTCTCCAATTTAAAAAAAAATGCACACCATTGTCTAAATGATAAAATACCTGCGGACGCCTGAACTCTGAAACAAAACCAGAAAGTGCTGGAGAAACTCAGCAAGTCTGGCAGCATCTGTGGAGAGAGAAACAGACTTAACATTAGTTCGGCCGAGTTTCTGTTCTTGTCCTAATGCTTTGCTGATTATTTTTCCCCCTGAGATTCTCACAGTAACGTGCCAGAGATTTATATTAAGCTCTGAAGACCAGCCCAGGCCTGGAGGGTTGGAAACCATGCTCCTGCCTCCTTGCGGTCAATTTCAGAACCTTATTTTTGACCCTTTAGCTGTTTTTCTTATCAAGATTTCAAATCCCTTTTAAGGAGGTCGGGGTACAGCCTCCCGTTTAAACAGCATTTGCCTGAAGCTGCACAGAATGTTCCACATCTAGATGGAGCTTTAAGCTTTCTGTCGCGTTCTAAGTGTGTGCAAACTGAGACGACCCTTTCAAACCCATCTTTTGAGTGTCCAACCTACAGTGTTGCAACCTCGGATTTATTTTGATCCGCCGGCTAGCCAGCAAAGTCTTTCCAAATTCAGCCTCCTTTAATTTTCACGCCTGAAGCTCAGCAGTGATTAACCTAGAGCCCAGGATTGGGTTGGTGACTTATAGGTCCCGCCTACCTGTCACAATAAAGGGGGCGTGAATGTTTACCTTCCTGTTTCCAATAGCTACAGGAGAAACATGTCTCATTCATGGAATCGAGAAGGCTTTTCAGTCCGTTGTAATTCCCTGATCCTTTGAGATTGTATTTTGTTTCCAGTTGCCTGCTAATCCCTGCAATTGCAATTGAGGTGCCTGCTTTCCTTGCCCCAATGGAGCTGCCTGTTGTGGCCGTACTTGATTGTTCTCATCTGCTCTGCTCTTTCCAGCAAAACAAGGCCGCAGTCCGGTTGAAAGAGGACGTGAAGAGGATTATGGCTCATCCCCTCAGCACACAGAGAGCCTGCAGTGCCGGCAAGGTGTTTGGAGTCTCTCTCCATGACCTCCAGCAACGAGGGCAGATGATTGATGGGGTCCCTTTGGTCGTGCAACACATGGTGGAGTATCTGCAGGAATATGGTGAGCCACATTGCTGTCCAGCAAAGTCTGGACTGTCAACACTTTCAATGTTACAACAGGGACTGCACTGAACATAGGGGCTGGGTTACAAAGGACCAGTGAGCAGCAAAGCACTATAGGACTGCAAGTATTTACTCTTTAATAAAAAAAACCGAAAGAACTGAGGATGCTGCAAATCAGAAACAAAAACAGAAATTGCTGGAAAAGCTCAGCAGGTCTGGCAGCATCTCTGGAAAGAAATCAGAGTTAATGTTTCGGGTTGAATGACCCTTTCTGAGACTTTTATTTCTCATTCTTGTTTGCTGTTTGTTTTTCTTCTCTTAGCCCTTCCTCCTTCTCTTCCTCCTTGCTTCATGCATCATTACCCCTTATTTATCCAGTCGATAATTAAGCAGACATCGCGCCACTAGGTTTGGGTGCTGTAGTGCATTAATCTGGGCCAACGCGCTTCTACCTATTATGCAGAGGAAGTACTCTCAGATGTGCCAGTGACTAGTACTGCTGCCTCACAGTGCCAGGGGCTCAGGTTCGCTTCCAGTCTGTGTGGAGTTTGCACATTCTCCCTGTGGGTTTCCTCCCATAGTCCAAGATGTGAAGGCTAGGTGGATTGGCTATGGGAAAAGCAGGATTAGGGTAGGAGGTGGGTTTGAGTAGGATGTTCTTCAGAGGGTTGGTGTGGTCTTAATGGGCTGAATGGCCTGCTTTCGCACTGTGGTGATTCTATGATGATTCTTTTGAAGAGGACTTAAAGAGATGCCCCATCTATCTATTCAGACAGATGTCCCAAGAAATTAGAATATGTCGGTGGGTGTTTTTGACCAGCTCAGACTCAATGGGCTGAAAGCCCTCTTTCTGTGATGTAGACCTCAGTGACTCTATGACTCTGAGACTTTCAGAGAAGAACAGTGGAGTTCATACATTTCACCCTGCCTCCATCTCCCCTGTAATCAAACCACTGTCCTGACCAATATTGATCCCAAACACAACCAAAACTAAACTGATCCATACAAGTCTATCAGCCACAACCTCCCCACCATTCCCTTCCCCTCTTCAACCCCAAAGTGGAGCATAAGGCATAGAAACAGAAGAAGGTCATTCAGCCCATTGACTCTGCTCCACCATTCTATCCAAAAACAAGGACATCAGCACCGATCAACTGGATATTTTTCCCATTGCTTTTTGCAAGCTCCTGTGTATGCAAATACCTAGATGCTCCATTTGCCTATATCCCAACGTTGAGTATACTTCGAACTGTAATCCATTGGTTTTGAAGTTCTTTGAGACACACTGAGACCTTGATAAGTATATACAAAAGACTCAAGTTTTATGCTTCTCACTACATCCCATCCCATTCAGCAAGGAAAACGCTGCTTTCCCCAGAGGTAAGGATGGAGCGGAATTAGCATTATATTGAGAGAAATACTTGCATTGAAAGTTGTGCCCAGAAGGTTGACTAGGCCAATCTGTTGGGATAAAGGCATGCCATATGAGGAAATGTTGAGCAACTTAGGCCCGTGCCCAGTGGAGTTTAGACAAATGAAAGGTGATTGTTTTGAAGCATGCAAGATTCTGAGGGATTGATCCTGAGAGGATGTTTTCTGTTGTGTGGGAAATCCAGAACTAGGAATCACAGTTTAAAAAATAAGGACTTTCCCATTTAATGTGGACCTGAGGAAGAACTGGTTCTCTCAGTAGGCCCGCCATTCGTCTTTGGAATTCTCTTCCCAACAAACAGTGAAGGCTCAGCCAATGAATATATTCAAGGCCGTCGGCACCAATCTGATCCATGCAGGCCTATTAGTCACAACCTCCTGGCATTCCTGCTTCCCACCCCATGGAGGAGTGTAAGACATAAAAACAGAAGTAGCCATTCAGCCCGTTGACTCTGTTCGGATATTCAATGAGACCATGACTTCACTTTCCTGCCTGTGCCAATATATATATATATATATCTGCAAGCATTTTGTAAAATGGAGCTATGGAGCTTGATGGAAGAGGCTGTAATTTTCTTTTCACCACTTAGATGATTGGGAATCTTTCCCATTCTTGCCTCTTCCTTAGCCATCTAGACATGGAGTGGGACTTTGGTACATAGGAACAGGAGCAGGTCATTCAAACTCTTCAGCCTGCTGCACCATTCTAGACCATGGCTCATTCCTGATCTCAACGCCAATTGCCTGCACATTCCCCATAATCACTTGATCTCATTAGGATCTACTATTGTCCATCTGAAAGATGCTCAATCTCTGAACTTCCACTGCTCTGGCGTAGAGAATTCCAAAGACTCTCAGTCTTCTGAATGAAGAAATTTCTCCTTAATTCCAGCTTAAATAGTTCACCCTTTATTCTCACACTGTTCCACCTCCCCATCCCCCTTCCCACAACCCCAGTTTTAAATACCACCCCACAATAAGGAGAAACATCATATTTACATCTATCCTGTCCAGCCCTTTACCAACTTAGAGCTTCTGGGTCAGACTCACCAATGTAACCCAATGCATCACAGGATGTCCATTGTCCTCCAAACTATGATGTATTCATTTTCAAACAGCAGTCTTTTCAATTAATACTGCACCTTTTAATACAATAAAATGTCCCAAGGTGCTTCATGACAACGTCATCAAATAAAGTCTGGTACAGATCCACATAGAGCAATATTAGGCCAGGTAACTAAATTATTGCTCAGGAATATAGACTTAAGAGTATCTTAAAGCAAGGCAGAGAATCTGAAGGACTGACACAATGGGAGGGAGTTCCAGAACTTGAAGGCATGGCTACCAGATTTGGAGGAGCACTGAAATCTCAAAGGAATTTTGGACTGGAGGATGTAAGAGAGATGATTAAGGGCATGGTGATGAGGGACCAAAGGGGCGGTGACAGAGTACTGGGAGTGAGGAACTTGGTGGGCAATGAGGGAGTAAGGGGATGAGGGTGTGGTGGAGGTCAGGGCTTGGTGGGTGATGTGGGAGTAATAGGGAGTGAAGGAGTGGTCGGTGATGAAGAAGTGAATGAAGGAGTGGTGTGTGATAAAGGGAGTAATAGGGAGTGAAGGAGTGGTCGGTGATGAAGAAGTGAATGAAGGAGTGCTGTGTGATAGAGGGAGTAATAGGGAGTGAAGGAGTGGTGAGTAATAGGGATTGGTGGAGTGAGGTGAAAGGAGTGGTGGGGGTCAGGAAGCAGTGTTTTGGAAAGGGGCAGGGTTCAAAGTCATGGAATGATTTGAAAACCAAGCTGGGCCTGTTGAATCAAGGCATTGCTAGGCTGAGAGCCAACGTCTTTGGGCAAGCACAGGAGTGATGGGTGAATGGGACTCAGTGCCAGATGGGACAGGGGCAGCAGAGTTTAGAATGACCTCAAGTTCACAGAGGGTAGACTGTAGGAATACACAATACTAGAGGCAGAATCGGCTGAGGCAGGAGACCACTGATATTAAAGAGGTAGAAATGGGCAATTTTTGTGATGGTGCACATGTGGTCATTAGCTCACCCTGGGGTCAGATACATCAGTTCAGGCAAAATGCAACTCATCAAAGGTTGGTCTTGCATTTCAGGGTATAATGCAATAAACGTGTTTGCGATTGACATTTCATGTGCATTGAAATAATAGCCTGTTGTTTTCTATATTCCTTGGTTAATGGTTTACCATAACCACCAGCTGTTGTCAATATTTGTATGTGCTCATTCTTACAATTCTAATGTCACAGTAGCCTGAAAGCGCAGAGCAATTGCTTTTCCAATGCAGCAAATCACCAGCATTGTCCCTTAGCAATCTCCTTTGACTGCACTTCAAAGATGTGGGAAAAAAGTACTTTCATCTTGCAGTTTTGGCTTTTGGTTGAAATTTCTGTAATGACACTCCCCTCATTATCAAGTGAGGACATTGCATTCACACCAGGAAGCTCCCTTGTTCACTCCTGTGTGGATTTATCCGATCCCAGGTCTTGTCGGTGGTTAGGATATTCTAATTGACTTCGTCATCCTGAGTCAGATGGAGTAAGCTATCAGACTATAGGACAGAAGAGCAGAAATAAGCTGTTCAGCCCATTCAGTCCGCTCTTCCATTCAATGGCTGATCTGATAATCCTCAACTCCACTATTTTTGCCTTTTCCCCATAAGCCTTGATTTTCGTATTGAAAAGTAAAACCAACAGAATTTGTAAGTACAAAACAAAAGAACTGCAGATGCTGTAAATCAGGAACAAAAACAAAGTTGCTGAAAAAGCTCAGCAGGTCTAGCAGCATCTGTGAAGGAAAAAACAGAGTTAACGTTTAAGGTCAGAACTGAGGAAGGGTCACCAGACCCGAAACGTTAACTCTGTTTTTTCCTTCACAGATGCTGCCAGACTTGCTGAGCTTTTCCAGCAACTTTGTTTTTGTTCCAAAATTTGTAAGTCTAACTTTGGCTCAGTATTAATCACAGTGACCTACAAGTCTGAAGGTTGTGGAATCAAGTGTCAGTACTGTTCTTGAACACCTACGCCCTAAGCTCACACTTTACTGCTGTACTGAGAGAATGCTGCACTGTCAGATGAGCCATTTTCGGAAGATGTTAGGTCCTGCAGTCTATTTATATAGATTCCTTAACACTATTGGCAGGAAAGTGCAGAGTTCTCCTGTTCTGCTGGCCAAGATTTTCAGTACAAGCCACTTTCTCATTCTTCATCCTTTCCTGATAGATATAACTACTCAATTTAGGTATCATTCTGGTAAATCTTCTTTGAATCTTCTCCAGTGTCTCCACATTCAGTTTTTAATATGGATCAGAACTGTGCGCAGTTGGCCAAGTGTGACCTGACAGATGTTATATTGAAATGTAGTGTAACTGTATGGGGTTTACACCCCAAGTAGGACAAACCGGACGGATCTGTTCATCTCCTGCCCTCCTTTCTCATTTCGTAATGCTTACCGTTATGTCAGCATTCAGAGAATGATAGTACCCTCACTGATATTCCCATTCTAAGCCCGAGCTGTAGCTGGGCTGGCCTATTATGCCTATCTTGA